TTTTTTCACAGTTTTTTGTTTTTTTTCGTAAAAGGAACTGCTTAAGATAAGGTCTTAATGTGATCATGGCTGCTATTGCAATAGACGTGCTCTTTTTCTGTTCTTTTAGTTTATTTTCCTTTTGGGAGGGGGGGTGGGTTTTTTTTGCTGTTTTTGTTTAGTCTATATGTTTATAAAAGCAATAAATATATTTTCAAAAAATACATTTAGAAACAGGCAACAGTGAATGAAATGTGTTTCTTTGTTCTTTTACTAAGTAATGATAAGTATTTAGGTTGAAAATGTTTTGTAATTATTGCTTAAAGTTAGGGTGACCATGTTTTACCTAACCCTTACTGTCCTGATTGTATCACATTAATTTGCTCTGTATTCACTGTTTTCCTCCTCATGGTCGTCACATCATGTTACAAACACAATCTGTCAGAAACTTCTGCCTTCAAAATAAAAAAAAAGTCCCTACGATAAAGACATTTTGAAGTCACACTTTGGTGTCCTTGAGGCTGCTTCTTATCTAGATGGAACCTGTTCTACTCAAAGGTTCAAATCCAGCCTGTGGCTCCTTTCCCGCATGTCGTTCTCTGCTTTCTCTCCCTGATTTCCGACTCTGTCCTGTCTCTCCATTGGAGGCTCAAAAAGCCCAAAAATACATCTTAAATTAAAAAACAAATCCTATTTCTCTCAATGTCTCTAGTCTTGATAGTTGCTAATCTTTAGGAGCCCACAACCATATCTGATTATTGATTTAAGGTCCAAAATGAATTCATTTATTTCTTTAAATCACATTGATTGCATGCTATGTTGTCCCTTAGTTAACCAGTAGTACTTCACTGGTGTGTTTTTATAGGTCTGTGGTCGTAACTGGAGCCCTATGGGACACAGGAAGAAGAAAACCCAAACAATGACTACCAAGCCAACACTTGTTAGTGGAAAGAAACATTTCTCCTGATGAAACCCCCCTGAACACCGGGCTTATGTGATAACCAGGAGGGCCGACGTGATTAAACAGAAACTTCATTTGACACAAGAGTAAATGAAAGCGTTCATTTTGGATTCTATTATGCGCTCAGTGCAGGGGCAGAAAATGCATTTTATTCCCCGCGATGAAAAAGTGTCTTCGCCTCGCTCTAACCGAGTTTCTCCAGCTAGGAGATTTTTTTTTTTTTTTTTGGGACCCTAATTGCTGCCAGTGGCTAAATCCTATCCATTTGCATCGATCTCCTTTGAAGAGAGATGCAGATGAGCTTAACGAGTGTGCTAATTATGCTCGCTCGGCGTGGGGGAGCCTGCTGTAACCGCAAACTTTTGTGTGTTTCGAGTGTGTGTGTGTGTGTGTGTGTGTGTGTGTGTGTGTGTGTGTGTGTGTGCATATTTGAGATTTTACTGCCTCATGCATTCCTGAGTGTAAAAACAACCTGACATTAAGGAGAGAGTGGTTTGATTGCTTTTTAATGGCTTAATAATACATCTGAATGTGCTCTGATTGCAGCTCTGTATCAGGAACGCACTGTCATGTTTTCAACAAAAGAAGAAGAAAATGGAACAATTTCTCTGAGAACATCACTGTGTTTTTCCGTTTGGCATGAGAACAGAGACGGATACTATTGTGTGGGTGTGTACCTGAGGCCATTGTGGTCCAGTGTGTGTGGATGTGTGTGTGTGTGTGTGTGTAATAGCGATGACTGGTGTTGTCTCCCGCAGCGCACAATAGCCTGGACACACAGACAAAATGTCACTCGACAGGCCTGTCTCTTCTATATCTCTCATCCTCTCTCTCTCTCTCTCTCTCTCCCCTCATTCTTTCCTCTTTGCTGAAAGCAATGTAATGACATGGACGAGTGACGGAGCCGCAGCATGAAAAGCTGTGACACCGGGCCACAATAACGTACATTTGTGACTAAACATCTCGGAGACATGAAAGCGCCCTAACAGATAGATAATTGGCCGCGGTTGCTGCTTCTCAAAGCGAGCGGAAGACAGGGAAGGGCTGCAGCCGTCAAAACACATCAAGGTTAATAGAGGATTTTTTAGAAATGTTGGGTTCCTTTCTAAATCTGTGTATCAGGAGAGGGAGCACGCTAACCAGCAGGCAAAGCTTTTGGCACACAAAGGATATTCTATTTTTTTTAACCCTGCTGTATTTTTCACTGCAGAGACACAGAAAAGTATGACAGATGAATAACACTTCTGCAGTTGCCAAGCAGTATATGACGATGTAAGATTTCCATTTCAGAAAAAAGCATCACTCAAGAGTGCAACCTATTTCTTTAAATAATGACAAATGTGAGATCTCACAGGTTGTGTTCCCATCTGTCTTGTTACTTTGCTAACAAAAAAAAAACAAAGCATGAGCTTCATTTTCCCACAGAGGAGAGAGGCTGTTTGCACTTTATTTGCCTCACATTTAAAATCCCCTCACAAAACAAAGATGCATCGCCACCAGATATACCTAACAATACAGCTAACAAGAATGGGAAATTGGATTTTTCAAAAACAACCCAAGGCGGTACATTAAGCTGAAAGAAACAGTGAGATTCCAGGTGTGCAGACACTTGTTGTTAAATTAAAAATAGATGGTTAGAAGGGAACAGTCTTTGCTTTTCAGGACTGAAGCATACTTCACTGTCTTTTTCACACCATGCATTTGTCATATAGGGTTACACTAAGATTAAATAAAAGTGTTTGGAAACTGTTTGTGTAAATGTGTAGGTCATACGACAAGCTACTTTCTATTTGCAGAAAGTGCTTATTCATTTGTAAGAAATGCGTTCTTTGTTGGGTTCTATACTGTTTTCTCCAAAGACAAATGTTTCCCCAGACGACAGCTCGATCAAGGCAAGACAAGGCCGGGGTCAAACCATCTGACTGGATCAGACACATACATGCACATACACTCAAACACAGAAGTATCGGTGGAGAGAGCGGTGTTTTATTGGACAGGAGGTGATGCGACAGGTAAGGCGAGCTGGATGAAGTGAGATAGATGTCGTCTCTTGGATGGAACCTCACAGCTCATACTGCTGGGACTTGGTTACTCGTCTGTGAAAACAAGATGTAAAGCCGTGCTTCATTGTTGCCTGTGCTGTCCCATCTGCCCATGGGCCGCAATGAAAATGACCTGTGTGTGTGTGTGTGTGTGTGTGTGTGTGTGTGTGTGTGTGTGTGTGTGTGTGTGTGTGTGTGTGTGTGTGTGTGTGTGTGTGTGTGTGTGTGTGTGTGTGTGTGTGTGTGTGTGTGTGTGTGTGTGTGTGTGTGTGTGTGTGTGTGTGTGTGTGTGTGTGTGTGTGTGAGTGGATTCTGTGCCCAGTAAGCTAGCATTCCTTCTGTGTGCAGCACAACATGCCGCAACAATTGCCAACAAAAAAAAAAAAGTCTACACATGCTCGAGTACACTCAGAGGGGGCTTGGAAGTCAGCCTCTCACACATCTGCCGCGCTGGGTACAGGTTCAGTTCACAGTTGATGATGAAGGCTTGTGACTCATCAGGCTTTACTTTTAATTAGCTACACGGTCATTAAAATGTGTTAATTGTATGCATTGTGTTATTGCTGTTGTCAAAGTCAGTTAAGGACGAGGAGCGGCGGGAAGCTGTGGTTTAGCGGCTCTGCAGTAATGCAGTGTGACCCTGTGTAATTTCAAAATGATAATTGGAAGAAGTCCCCCTGCCCCCTCGATGAACACACGCTCACAAACACACACACACACACACACACACACACACACACACACACACACACACACCGCCTCTGTGGACAGACTTTTTGCAGATGAGAAAGCAATGCAGCACCCCCTTTTGGTGGGCTCTCTGCAGGGATACATCAAAGAGTAATAACAGCATTAGTCTCCAACACCTCTGCCGGCAGGAAAACACATCAAATATTCTGAGAGACATTCACCACTGTTTCCCAAATTGCAGTGATGGACAAATTGCAAAGTATACCGCACACTAATGCACCCTTCGCACCACTGAGCCTTTATCATTCAGTGTTATCTGCCACTTTGGCAAATACAATGCTGGAAATAAGGGTACCCCCTTTTCTCAAGCCGAGCATCCCCCTCTGTGCAGAAAATTAATTATTCATAGCAAAGAGGCATGATAGTGTAATTCTGGGCTGCCATGAATAATGCATTTAAAATGTGAGGTCTTACATGTAAACAAAGCAGAGGAAAAAAGAAATTGAACAAAAACATGTTTGATTTTCTTTTCCATTGGCAAAGTTTAGGTCACTGAAAAACAGTGTGTTTTGTTCACCTGTGAGAGCAACACTCCACATTAAAGCAAAACAACAAGAACAATATGATGATGAAATGAAATGTCCTTATACATCTTCAGTCTTCTTCTGTATGACGACAGAGCTTTGAAAGTCACAACTGACCGACTAGGGAGCACATAGGCCAACCCATAGCAAAAGGAAGAGGCCAGGCAGCGTTGCATTGCTGCTCAAGTGGCATGTCAGCATCAGAGCAACTTTATAGAGTTGTACAATTTGCCCTGGGGCTGAAACTGTGGCACGGAATTCGCCATTTTGGGTCAAACCCTCAAAGCGGATAACTGCAGTGCTACTCTTGGGAGCAGCCAGCAGGAGCCCGGTGTCATCTGTAGATTGTGCTGCGTTCAATGACCCAGAGGAATGTCGTAATTATATGTAAAATATTGAAGGGACGTGAGACTTGCTTCTTTGTTTTGACATTGCTGAAGTAAGTTGGAAAGTTTTTGTGTCGTGATAACTTTGCTAAGTAATTTCGTTAAGAGGCAATTATACAAATCAGCGAGGAGTAGAAGAAAAAGTACATATATGAACACATTCGTGGGAAAATGACTCCCAAGCTGTTTACAACTCGGCCATTTTCTTGATTTTTTTTTTTTACAATATATTATATGTCCTGTTGTAGGCTATTTCGTTAATGTTTTGTTTTATTTGTTTTGCCAACTGTCTGATAACATAACGGCATAATCTGTCATGTCGATACCCACATGTCGGAGCTTTACAACAGACCCTGAACGCAGCATCGCCGTGAGTCTTCCGCTTGTCGGCTCTTCGACACAGCACAAAAACATGAGCGCGTCTGTTGTTGTCCGGAGGTTAGCAGCTCTGTCCGGGGCTTCGGCCGTGGCAGCCGGGGCGTACGGGGCTCACGGTAGGACCTGCTCTTCACATATTTTGCCTCCTCATGCACAATGTCTGTCACTTGGTTTGAGAGCAAAACACAGGAAGGAAAGGTTGTCATGTGAGCGCGTACTACGCCAGACTCCGCTTCCCAAAATGCTAAGTTTAGTTTTTATACCTTGTTATCACAACCCGGAAAGACTTTCCAGATAAAAAACGCTTGATGATTATGTTGAATATGCAAATGAATAATTCGGCATCCAAATGAACCATCTAGCTGCACCATATGTTTTGTAATATAAACAATTGTGTAATCAAGGTGACCCGCCTCCAAAGTGTCATGGTGGCAGGCGGCTTATTGAAGAGTGGGTTAATGGTAAAGCTGCTGTCAGAAATACATGCTGGTGTGTTTGCATGTATATTCAGATATTACATGCAAGCTTAACTGTTTTCATTTCCTCTTGTTTCAGGATTCAAAAACAGCGACCCTGATGATTACCAAAGAGTGGTACGTGAACATCAGCAGACTGTTTTTCGTTATGATCAACATGCCAGTGACATCAAGTAGAACATTTTTGAAAACTTTTATTTAGCCTACTCATACCAGTCTTTACTCAAAACACACGTTTGAGATATGTAATGTAAATGTGTTGACCTGGACTATTTCAAGAAAACATTTTTTTTTTTTTAATTTGGGATCTCAGTTTCGATTTCAATCACGATTTTGGCTTCCCACAATCATGAAAACTAAGGATGTACTGGTCCACTTTTTCAGTTCTGATTCGATTCCTGTACATCTGTACCAACAGAAACTAATTCAGATATTTTTTCAATAACGTTATTGTTGTTCTTGGTATTATGTATGGCTACCCAAAGCTGTAGTAACCCTGAATGCACCATTGCATTTCTTATTCAAAGAGCAAAAAAATATTAATAATAAATATTTGTAAAAATTTAGATGATTCCAAATAAATATCTGTTTGAACTTGCTGTGCTGGTTTGCACTTAGAGGTAACAGGAAGTAGCAACAACTGTAAGGTTTTCAAATTAAATATCTTAAACTGAAGTGTAAGAATTGTACTTTTTATCATAAAGAAGGAGCTGTCTCCATCTTGTCGGAATATCTTAATGTAGAGGCTGTTATTTTTTTTTGGCGCCCATTCAACTGAGGGTGCAGAAATTTAAAACGAGGGTGCAATGCATCCTTTTGCACCCTGGTATAATTCGGCCTGAACATACTGGAATAACCTTTTTTTAGATAAAGATCTTTTTTAACTGATGGGATACACTGTCATGATTCTATGTGATTTAAGAATTGTATCTGAATTATGAAAATGATGTAATAGGTGTTCGTAAACCTCCTCCTCCTCCTCCTCCTCCTCCTCCTCCTCTTATACTGGTATCTTACTTGGATATCATTTTTCTGTACATCAACATCGTCTAGCAGCAGCCCTTGTCAACATTTTTCCAACAATAATAGGATCACTGAGAGGAAAGTGACTTAAGAGCGCTGACATTTCTCTCTGCCTTTGCCTCTCCAGCTTTTTGAAACTGCCAACAAGTACCATTTCTACCACAGCCTGGCCCTGCTGGGTGCTGCCCACTCTGGCAAACCTGCCGTGGTGAGTATAAGCGCTTAATACCAACACTTATGACTAGATTCACTCGAGCTGGCTTTAAAAAGTGATCCTCCTTGAACTAGTCCAGTAACATAACAGCATATATGTTGGTGTGTGTGTGTCCTTGTTTATGTCACATTATTGCAACTAGTTTTTCCGACACCTGCAAAACCTTGATTCATTGAAGCTTAAAGGCCGTTTAAAGATTCATTAACCACCTCACATTGAATTGTAAATCAATCGGCCACATGAATAGCATACTAAGTGACGGTGATGGATCTGGACCTCGTTGGCGCTGGTGATGATGCATCTCAAGAGACTATCTTTGAAATAAAAAAATACTAAATTACTAAATGTGTAAAAAAACAAAACAAATGTGCATACATACTTTGGCCATCCTTTTCTATATGGACATTTAAAGGGTTAATCTTGCATGTTATATTTTAGCGTCAGACTTGTAAAAGTTGATTTCAAAAGTCAACATCTTGTCCTCTCTTCAGGCTGGAGCCCTCCTGATAGCGGGCATGGGGATGTTCTGTGGCTCTCTGTACCACCAGGCCCTGACGGGGGACCCCGGTCTGAGGAAGGTGGCTCCCATGGGGGGCATGGCGATGATCGCCGGCTGGCTGGCCATTATTCTCTGAACTGTAACGGTTCACACTCGTCCACTGCGCCACACTGTGACACTGAACTGTCACGCTGTGAATGGATGAACTGGAGAGCCTGTGAGAGTTGTCTGGAGAGGTTTAAAAGCGATGAGTTATGACACCCGTGTAACCGCTCCCCGTCCTGGGCCGAGGGTGTCAGCAGGAGATAAGGTCACGACAGGATTATCACTTTTGTACTTCTGACTGGTACCCTGGTAAAAGACAAATATGAAGGGTTTCAAATGAAATAAAGGAATTTTCTACAATATTTGTTTGTTTGTTTATTCCGCTGATCACCTCCCTTCCTCAGTTTTTCTTGTCCGCTGAAAGAATTAAAAAATTTAAAAAAATGTCCAGATAAAATATAAATAATTGAGCTTAGTTATGGTCATGAGCTTTGGTTAGTGACTGAAAAAATGGGAATACAAGCAGATGAAAAGAGTTTCCTTATGAGAGTGACAGACCTCAGCCTTAAAGATACATTTTTCATTTAAAAAAAGTTTTTGTTATGCTTTTATTTTGAAACTTCTAACTATTTTAAACAAAAGGTTCTTACTGTTAGGTTACAAACCTGCTTTTATTTTGAAATTTTGAACTGTTATAAACAAATGTTTCTTTACTCTGTTAGGTTACAAACCTGCTTTTATTGTGAATTATGATAAGGAACTTCCAGTTGATCAAAAGTTACTAACCTGCTTTTATTTTGAAATTTTGAACTGTCTTAGACAGGTTTCTGTTCTTACTGTTGGGTTACATACATGCTTTTATTTTGAAATATAATAAGGAATCTCTAGTAGATCAAAGGTTACAACATTAACTTAACCACAGTAAAAAAAAGAGCTTGTTCGGGATCGACAACTAAATAAAAAAAAGTGAAACATTTGATATCACAGGGTGCATATTACTTTTGACTTGTTATCTGAGCTGTCGAGGAGTTTATTAATATTATTGAGCCATTCAAAGGGGGCAACAAGGTCAGGCATTGTGGTGGCTAACCTACGGTGCGCCTAAAGGGATAAAATAGCGTTCAATGAATGCAATTTATAAAGTGTATGTGTTCATTTCAGATCTTAAAGGCGTCGCGTCCCAAAAATGAAAATCCATGAAGTTTTCCACATTTAAGCACAAGAGAGATGTAACTGCCAATCAAACACCAAGCCACCCAGCTCCAGTGCTAATTTGGGCTGCATGTGTTACAACAAATGACAACTAACTTAGGCTACTGTCAGCTCAACGGGGCTCCAGAGTGTGACTTCTTCTGAAGAGAGTGGATAAACCCATAGAATTCACCTCGTATGGCGGCTGAAGGAAACGGTCTCGCTCTCTCTGTCTCACTCTCTCTCTCTCTCACAGTGCTGAATGTCTTCACAGCCTCAAGCATTTGATCCTTTTAAGTGGCCGAATACAAAGGAGTTCATTACCCATGGCCTCCCCTTAGCCAAGGCCATGTTCAAAACCACTCCGCTTTTCAAATTGAAAGTGAAATCCATTGAAACACTAATTCTCCTTCCTGACTGTAGGCCTGCGAACGGAGACCTTTAGAAAATAGCTGTATAAATCTCCGGGTCAATTTGCAAGGGTCGGCACATAAGCCGAGGCTCAGCTCAGAAGAGAAGGCCCTATTGACTGAACACGATGCCAATGAGCTCTTGATCACGACTCATAAAACCCTCATTAGAATTTAGCAGCTATTGGGGAAATGTTCTGCTGTTCCAGGACCAACCAATCATCCAGCACAAGAAGCTCTGACACCCACAACAACTTGAAAGTTTACACTCCTGACTGAAAGTTTCTGGCTGTTCTGCACTGCAACATCATCACATTTTCCACCATGTGTTAATAGCGGCAACATCACATGATTTCCCTGAAAGGAGATTCTCACCGCTTTCACACAGTTTTATTTTAAGGCTATTTATTTCTCTTTTTAGCTGACATTCAGATGTGTCGATGCAGCTGCTGCCAGCACAGCACCTCTGTGTTTAAATCCAACCACATCCCGATGTTCTGCTCAGGCGGACCACGATTTGACGTGTCAGCACATGAGAGAGGGGAGAAATAGAAAGTGAGATAAAGGGAGACACTGTCTGCTTTAATCTCCTTTACAATAAATATCACTTTTGTTCAGACAAAGCTGTTCAATCTATTCTGTAAACAGCGCTGATCATTTCTTTGCATTAATTTTCCACTTGACATTACACATCTCAGTATAGAGAACAAGAACAAAATACTTGTGTAATACTCCTCCAAAAATATATATTAAGTACTTTGTGACATTCATTTTACTATCTACCCGTGTGAGCATGGGAGCATGGGAGTCTCATTATTGTTGTTGTCCTCCGAGTCTTCAACCTCCTCCTGGAGTTCCAGAAAGGCTGTTTCCATGTGTTTCTCTCGCTCAGCCTTGAGCTCACTGGAAAGCTCAAGGTTGAGCGAGGTCTGGAGACTGAGCTGAGCTTTAACTTCCTCAAGCTCTTTGATATAAAATGCCTCCTCCAAAGCTTTTTCCTTCTTGATCTGCATCTCCTCTGCCATCTTTATACGCAGGGCTTTCTGTTCAGCTGTCAAGTTCATAATAACTCGCTGGTCCTCCATTGCCCTGTCTGAGTTAGACTACAAGTTCACTTTGCAGGATGTCAGCCTGATGTTGGACAGTTACAACTTCTGTCTCATAACTTTGGTGGAGCTTATTGTGAGAATTTTGGAGGTTCTCTATTTCTTCTTAAAGAAACTTGTTCTTCTCTCTTTCCAGCTGGAGCTCAACAACAAGCTTCTCCTGGCTGACTTGATGTTCCTCTATGAGCTCCTTGTTCTCCTTCTGAAGCAGTCTCATGAGGCTCAGCTGAGTCTCCTGCTCTTCCATTAGATCCCTCTCCTTTTGACGGAGGGCTTCTTCAGCCCTCAGTTTGGAGATCACTTCTTGGTCCTCCAACACCTTGTCCTCCAGGGACTGGATTTCCTCCACAAGGTCATGGTGAACCTCCCTTTCACACTCTTTGATCCCCTGCTGTTCTTGGACTACAATGTCCTCTCCCCTCTTCTTCAACTTCCCCTTACTGATTAGATGATCCACTTTCAGCTGCACATACGCTTCTTGAAGAAGTTTCTTTGGCATTTTCTTTGCAGCGTCCATCTCCTCACCTTTTAGCTGTGTGATTTGAGTGTCTTCATTAGTGGAAACTTCTGGACATTTCACCCCCTCAAACTTAATGTTAAAAAAACTATTTAAATACATTTAAACAACAAAATAAAACATGAGAATTTAAAGTGGCAGTAAGCAACATGAACATTCCAACGGAAAACAGCCAACCGTTGCCACAGCAACCTGTCTGAATCCCAATCATGGTCCTCTCAGAGTTGCTGTGATTTGATATTTCAACCAAACGTTAATCAAATATTATTACACACTCTATAGCTTTAAAGAAGACATATTATCCCTCTTCTCCACCTTTTCAAACAGTCCCCTGTGGTCTAAATGAAACATCTTGGCTGTGCTTTGGTCAAAATATAACATGAATCAAGCACCAGAGGAGGTTTGTGACCCTGTATAAACCAGCTCTCTCAGAACGCTCCGTTTTGGTGTGTGTCTCTTTAAATGTAATGAGCTCCCACACACTCCACCCCTCACTTCTGCGGGCTGTGCTGACGAGTCCAGTTTTGAACTTCTATGGCAATTCGTCAGCGTGCACCCTGGGAAAAACATGACTTACCAGAATCCCACTGTGACATCACAAGGAGAGCAAATTTGAAACAGAGCATTCTGTGTCATAAGACTTATACAGACCTCAAACAAAGGACTGGATGGGTTTATTTCACATTTTGTGGGTCGGCAGACACTCAGGTTACCCAAATATATGTTCACAAATGTCGCTCAATCATCACCTACGGGCCTCCATAAATGTGTGGTGGTGCCTGTGTCTGCAGAGCCCCTCTCCTCTGCCTGCATTTGGATCTTTTGGTTGGCATGGGACGTTTCTAGGTGGGAAAAAGAAATGTCTTTAGGGTTGGGTTTCAAGGCCAACAAATGTTTTCCTAAGTGAGATTCTCTCCTCTTTAATGCACTCTATGTTGCCGTTCAATCTGCAGAACTTAAATCAGGAAGCCCTGCAGACGCCAACCCACTGGCAGTAAGTCTGTCTGGACTTCTGTCTCTGTGCCGGCTGAAGCCTGCTGCTGTTGTGAGCATCAGAGAAAAGAAGAAGCATGGATACTAATAGATATTGTTAATGACACCTTCAGGGACTTCTCCTACACTTCATAAGCTTCCCTCTCCTTTATTTCTCTTGCCCCGCGGACAGACTTAATTACATCAGCTTCTTCCACAGGGGCGCATCTCCTTGTTGCATTGATTTTCTTGGTCTGGGTCCGGTTTGGTCAAAGATGAAGAGAGTGTTTGTTTTGAGAGTCGTGGGTAAGGTGATGGAGAGCTTATGGGAGCTGAATGTGGAAAGATCCTGGAATGAAACTCCTATACTCATGGCTATCTTCAATGATTACTCACAGGTACCCCCTCTTATGGAGCAGGGGACGCACAAATATCTACCCAACGACACACACACAGGCAATATATTAAAGTGCATGATGTATAATACACACCACAGAAGGGCCAAATCCTCTTTGGGAGCATCAATCAGGCGACAGCAGCATCTCAGACTGTGAAGCAGAATGACTATAATGGTCGTCCTAAGCGTTTCCACATCCCGGTCCCTTAGCTGACCCTTCAAAGCCACTTAAATAATGGTCAGCACTATCACACCTTCGGATAGATTATTCCTTCACTTCAATGGACACTGAGGCCCCATCACTATAGCTTCCTTTTCTGCGGCTTTAAACCTCATCATTTCACTTCCATTGTAGCACAGCGATGACAGCCATGCATCAGGGGAGCTAAAGGGATGAATCCTATGGGGGGAGCTGCTTTTGTTACCAAATCACCATCTCCACTATCAGAAAGTAGTCTCAGTCTCAGAGAATAATGTCTTGTCTGGGAACTATTATTAGCCAGCTGGGTACCAGACGATGGATAGTGACACTAGTTGGGTTAGTGCTGCATAAATGCTAACCACTAATGACACTGTGATGGTTCACAATAAGATGAATCTGTTGGATTTACGAGTTACCTTATCTCTGGTGGCCGTAAGTCACATTGTAGTACTACAGAAGATGGAAATATGTGAGAAAACATGCATCGGTGCAGCAACAGCAACGTATGGATGTGGAAAATGGACTTGAGCTGTAAGTAGCTTTTCTAGTTTTCTGACTACTCAAAGA